TCTCTCTCTCTCTCTTTCGCTCTTCTCTCTCCGGCCCGAACGGAGTTAACAGCTTTGTTGCGTTTTTACAGGCGGCGTCCTGCCTTGAACTCATGCACGCCAAGCCGAAAGGGAGCCAGTCCCGCAGCGCGACCTAAGCGCCCGGACCCCTCGCTCTGGGAGAGCCGTTCTGATGCTTGCCGCTGCCGCCAGCGGCGCCGCCAAAAGCCGCTTGAACGCACCACCCAGCTCCCTCACTTCGCCTCCTCTCCGAAAGCTAGAGAGAGAGAGAGAGAGAGATCCAAAGAGGGTTTGTTTTTCTCCCTTACCTTTGAACTGCCAAGGCTGTTTTCAACTTCTGGCGTTGAGGTTTGGAGCAAGCCTGGGTTGCTGCTGCAGCGTTCATCCTCTGCTCTTGACATGGTGACTCTGGCTTGGCTGATTTTTCTGGTTCTATTTGGTGTTAGTGAGTCCCTCTTATCTTTTTTTTTCTGTGCGTGTGTGTGTGTGTGCGTGTGTGCGTGCGTGCGTAGGTAGCTGGATAGTTTACTTTGCTGTCTTCTTGCTTGGATCTCGTTTCCAGAGGCAGGGCTGGTGGGTTCAGCTCCGCTAGTAGCAGCTATACTTTCAATGAACTGCTCCACTGAGAAGACAGACCGATGCGCTCACTGCCCCTTCTTTTATACGCCCATCCAATGGGCATGCTCAAACTTACAGGCTTCAAGGTAAGTCAGCCAATAAAATCGCAGAGGTTATCTAACCCTCTCTGTCTCTCTTCCTCCCCCCCCCCTTAACCTCCTCCCATTTTACCCTCTCTTGAGATTTCCCATTTGGAGCAAAAAACAAAAAAAAAAATCAATAGCATGCTTTTGGGCTATTGCCTCATCTCAAAATTACCTTCCCCCCCCCCATATATGCACAAAGAAAGGAAGGGAAAATGAGGAAGATGGACACCCCCCCAGGAGTTAATATTGCTTTTTAAGTGCAAGCAATGTATACATATATACATACACACACACACACACACATACACACATATACTTTAATATACATTCTTCATTAAAATAAATCCCACCACTTTGTTTATTGGGATTAGAAAATGCCACGATCTTCAGGCAACCAAATGTTTAGTGAATACTTGCCTTTGCTCTCAGTGGTTGAATTAATCCTGTGATTAATGTCATCAAAGCTCAGGACAAGGAGACCTTGAGAGGTCCTGTCTTAGTTTCTCCAGTCCCGTTTTTGCTCCCCTATCAATGAAGACAGAAGGTAGATAGAAAGGGAAATTAACTAGGCTATAATTTCACTGAGTGTTTGCAAATTGAGTGAATTGAACTAGATGCCACTAGATGAAAGCTGCACCATCATCCTACTCTGGAACAGGCTGATGTGTGCAAAGACTTCTGAAAATCCCATCCTCCTACAGCTAGGAGAGCAAATGCAGTGTTCAGGGGAGCTACCTTTATAAAGCACCTCTGAATTGCTAATTGAGGACAAGCTCATCTGGGATAAGTCCCTGCTTTCCAAACCTACAGTACTCAGAGTACACAGTTAATGAAAAGTTACAAGGTGGCTACCGTTCACCAAACTCCATCCTACCTGTGACAGTCTTAAACAAGGCATCGTGTAGAGATGGAGAATCTGTGAATCTCCAGATGCTACTGAATTACAGCTCTCAGTGACCCATCCTATATGCCCAACAGTGAGTGAGGTGGGGAGCTGTATGTGGGAAGTCACAAATTTTCCACTCCCAGATTAAAAGAAGTGACCTGAATAAATATTTATTTAAAGCAAGATTATCAAGAGAACAGAAGGCAAACTTGTTGTCAACAGTCAAAATAATATCCTGGCTCTCAGTAAGACAGACCCAGGGAGAAGTAATGGGATGCCATCTAGTCCAACATTAAGTGGATTTTCTCCCTGAAAACAATTCTTTTCAAATTGGTGCTTTCTAGATGTCTTCAACTACAATTTCCCAAAACGTGTTGGCCAAGGGTGATGGATGTTGTAGTTCAATACATCAGGAGGGCCCGATCTTACCAAAAGCTGTCCATGTATTAGCTATCCTGTTTTTCCATCCCCGTCTGAACAATGATAATATTAAAGGGATAAAGTTTTATCCTTAGGATTGTAGGGAGATCTTTGGCTTTTTCAAAATAGGCTAAGGGTTGCCTATCCTGCAGTCTTTATGTCTCTGTCTCTCTGAAACAAGATTTAACTGAAATAAATAAGAACTCATGTACCTATTTTGGGAGCCCAGTAATTTTTTATCCTTGCCGTTTAAAAGTACAGCAGCAGCTTCTTAGATTCGTAGCTATTTTGGAGTAGCAAAACTGGAATTATTAACCACATTTATTATATGGTTAAATCTTTAGTGTCTACAAAAATTTAGTCAGTTAGCCATGTTGAATAACTCAGCATTCATGTATAGCCTATATATTGATGCAGCTCCAGGTATGGCAGGGAAATCTGATCTAAATTAACTTTATGACTGGCTATCCATATGGATCTTTATAATCCCATTAACGTTGTTACAAAAAAAAATGTAGAAAGAGTAAATAAGTGAGAAGGTGCTGTGCTTTTATTAAACTTGAGAGATGTCATTGATCCCCAAGGATCCATTCCATGTTGTATTCCCTTGTAAAGAAGCTTTTCCATATGAAGCTCCTGATTCTGATCTGGGACTGATAAAACATTTTTTATCAGACAGTGGCGCTCTTTGACCTATTTAAAGTTATTTTCAGTGTTAGTGGGAATCTGGATTCATGGTAATAGTTGTTCATCATAAGGCTGTTGCTGCAGATCAGAAGACAAAGTTGCACAAATGAATGCACAGCAATGCAAAAGTCAGGGGAGCATCTGTTTTATAGTATAAACACTTACCTGTTAGCCATTTTCATTGTCTTTGGAATCTGTATCTGAGAGACCAGATAATCAAGAAGTAGGTGAGAGGCAACACAGCTGACATAGCATCTCCAGTATCTGCATCAAACTTTTGGTTTTCTCCTTGCTTACTCCTCTGTGATAAAATGGTTGCAAAATTCAAAAGATGTAAATATAATCAGGAATAAGACCTAATATCTGGAGTAGGGAAGAAAGGCCAACTTTTTTTTTT